CCATTGCAATAAGCTGGACTTTGTTTGGTTTGGGTAGATGAAGAGGAGGCTCAAGTGCTGCTGCAAAATCAGACAATTTCTCAAATTCCATGAATTGCGTTGCATCAGGATCAAACTTCTCCCAGACTTCATAGAACATCTCAAAGTCATCCTCACTCAAGGGTTCAGCGCTTTCTTCAGTGGCAACACCAAAGTTCTCCAAAATCACAGCAATGTACATGTTCACCACCACCAGAAATGATATGATAATGTAGCTGACAAAGAAGAAAATCCCAACTGAAGGGTTGCCGCAGTCGCCTTTCACGGAGCTCCCTGGATGAGCTTTGTTAGGGTCACAGTCTGGCTCCCCACTGTTGAGAATTGGGGCTAGCAAACCATCCCAGCCAGCCGATGTGGTAATTTGAAACAGGCAGATCATGCTGTTGCCAAACGTTTCAAAGTTGAACATGTCATCTATACCAGCTTCCCTCTTAACATAGGCAAAGTTGGACATGCCAAATATCGCATAGATGAACATGACCAGGAAGAGCAGCAGACCAATGTTGAACAAAGCAGGAAGGGACATCATCAAAGCAAAAAGCAGAGTGCGGATTCCCTTAGCGCCTTTAATGAGACGCAGGATTCGACCGATTCTGGCAAGTCGGATGACTCTGAACAGTGTGGGGGATACAAAATATTTCTCAATCATCTCAGCTAAGAACATACCTAAAACAGAAAAAAAAAAACAAAAACGAAGATACATTACCACTTAATCTCTATTTCATAGTAGAAATATAGAAAAATAGTTTTAAAATATGTGATTCTATGTAGCAATTAAAAATGTTCTGTAGATTCCACTTGCTTAATTTCTGTTATGCCACTTATGCTTAATATTTGCAAGTGCAATATATGTTTAATGATTATAACAGTTTTGATGGTTGAATTAGGTAAAGTATTAGATAAAATTAAAAGTTACATGATTTCGTTGTAAACCTTGCAACAGCAAAAGCCAAGAGCTCTATTTGAGTAAAAGTTCACCTTATATTAATTTTACTCTCATTTTAGTTTAATAAACAAGACTTACCTACTATTGAGAGAATGACAACTACAAAATCAAAAATGTTCCAGCCTATGGTGAAGTAATAATGGCGAAGTGAAATTAATTTCAGGACACATTCTCCAGTGAAAAGGACAATGAACACCAGATTTATCCAGTATAAAATATTTTCCATCTCTTCGCTCTGGTCATCAGTTTCTACCATCATGGTAACCATGTTAAGACAAATAAGAATCATGATGCTGATGTCAAATACTTGCTGTGTCACAAAATCAAAGACCATGCCTTGGAATTTGTTCTGAGGGGAAAAGGAAAAAAGAAACATCCAATACAAACTGCAATTGTTTTTCTTTTCCTGTTAGAAGAAAAGTAGAAAAATAAATCCAGTAAGGTGTATGAGACTTCTATAAAAGTGTAACTAGTGATCTCGAGTAGTCAAATTAAACTGGATACAGCAGATTAGTTCAGCCTCCTCTGTTTGTATATTCATACATAAAATTATTCCAATGGTTACTGTGTTTCTATTTCCCATTTTTGCTGACTGATACAGGAGTTAATGATAATTTTCACATGGATGTATTTCTGCTGTTTATATATCAATAAAAACTGAGCTGTTCATAAATAGCTATTGGTCTGGTGTATATAAATAATTTACCCCTGGTCTTGGTATAGGTTTTTGTGGTTTTTTGGATCCCAGTTTTTTCATTGCATTGTAGTATTTCTTCTGCTCTTCTGTCATAAATATGTCTTGACCTCCAAAGTAAAAACATGAAATCAAAACTGGTTATAATCACATTTATATGCAATGTTGAAAAAAAACCCTCTTAATCAGAAATGTGATTTATTTATTTATTTCTTTCATGAAAATCATGAAGAGTGAATTGAGAAAAATCACTTAGCTATCAAATGCAGCTGTCTGCAATCTAAGCATTTAGTCCAGAAGTTGTCTGGACATCCAGTACTCATCTCACAAAAACCAGTAATGCAGCATTTTTCTAGAGTTATTTTCCTTGAACTCCAAGAAATCCTTTTCACTACCTCTTTTATAGGAAGAGATACAGCAAAAGGTGTCTGATTATCAGATGGATTATCAGACTTTGGAGAAACTGAGCTGAAGATGGAAACACTCTTGATACTGTTAACAGCAAAATGCTCTCTTTCACATCTTCTATCTTGATTAGCTTCCATGTTCAATGAAGTTCTGATCAGCAAAAGCCAGAACTGGCCTTTGGAGTCTGACAGTGAAGACAGAGAATTATGGGTCTTTCATGGCAACCTAACCAAAATCCTCTGCCCACAGTAACTTTTTTGTAGAGTCAGCTTGAACAAAAACCTATTAGACTCCACATATTTCTTGAAGTAAATTTTTCCTGGATAAAAGATACTTGCAGACATCTAATTCCAGGAATGTATATGAACACACAGGACTGGATGCAGCCCTTTTCTGGATGAGTGTTTGGGAAGATTGAAGACGTGGGAATGCATGCACCTTACACTGGACAGGCTCCCTAACCATATGCCTCTAGGCCTCTAACATGTAGAACTTCCAAAAATCTTATTTAGCATCTCTGATTAGTAACATAAACCCAGAGAAAATTATGAAGTCCAGTAAGGTAAAATTGAACTAGTAATTCATAGTTGCTTTTTGTCCTTTGGCTTTCATTACCTTTTCTATTTACAGAACATAATTTTAAAGATGAGCATCTGATACTCAGACTGTCTATACCAGTGAGTTTATCTACTTCTGCACTATGACACAATAAAAAATAGGCCCTGAGATAGTTACAAACCAGTCATATTCTGTATAGTTTCAGATCATTCAAATGCCACAAAATAGAACATGAATACTTAGGATCATTAAAACAGCATCTGTAGTATTGTGATGAAATAATGCTTTCTTTTTCATAACCAAGTAGCTTTTTTTTTTTTTTTTTTTTTTTGTACTGATAGAATGACTAAAAATCAAGAAGGAAAAAAAATCAAGAAATTATGAGTGATTTAATGTAGAGGCCTAAATCAGGGGTTGGATTGTTGTAAGGAGATTTCATGAATTTTAGACATGGAAAAGGAAATGAGTCGAGGAAGACTAAACTGGACATTGAAAGCAGAAGGGTCTATCCCATTCACTACAGTGTAATATGTTGTTAATGCACACTACATCTTGGTAAGATTTTATATCCTAACATACCTCAGCTTTTTCAGTTTTGAACAAACCTTGGGTGTAAATTCGATATATCATGCACTTGCAAAAATGCAGTATTTTAGAATATCTTTAGAAGAGAAATGAAGCAATACTTATCTTCTTTTTTTGCTGATTGAAGTTATCAATAATGACACCAATGAACAGGTTCAGTGTGAAAAAAGACCCAAAAATTATAAAGATGACAAAATACAAATACATGTACAGGTTGTCTTCATACTTGGGTTGCTGTAATACCTAAGAAAAAAAAAAAGTGAAATGTCATTCCTAAGATTTCGTGTGAAAATTTCAGCTGAACAAGAGGCAACCTTGGGTAAAATGTCCTTAATATTTTGGTTTTGGACAATACTGCTGTCACTAATATTGATGTGTTTTGTCTATTCCATCTATTACAGACAGCATCTGTCAGTTTGCATTCAGTTTTCCATGATTTGTTACAGCAGAATCTCATATTAGTTAATTTAATTTTGTTTCATTCTATTGTATGGATATTAATTGCTTTTGGAAGATATATAAACATACACTTGTTGATAAACAGACTTCGAGAAAAAAATAATTTAAAATATTTGCAGTACTTACATCTCTTGAGTCAATAGCTGCATACATAATATCCATCCAGCCTTTAAATGTGGCCTGTAAACAGTACACACCTGTTTAAGCATAGAGCTTGAAGACAATTCTTATAATTAATTCCAGCAACTGAGTACAGCACCAGGAATAATTAGCATTACATGAGATTTCTAGATAATTTTGTCTCTTGGCTTTCTTCAGAGCTGCTCATCAGATACACTGCTATGTACCCACCTATTTTGTCTCTATATGAACATTTTAAGCAGTAAGCATAATTAACTTATTTCTAATTGTCACAAGTGATAGAATGCAGTATCATTTTAGTGGACTACATGTTCATCAGATCATGTCAGCTGCAAAGGCTGTGTACTGCTGAGAAATAGCCTTATGTAACTAAATTGCCACCAATGAAGACTGATGTGTAGTCCCTTCCTCTCAAATCGGTCAGAAAGGTGGCAACCAAAGGGAACCAAAAATTTGATCAGCTCAGAAAAGGTATTTTCCTGTCAATCAGAATTTTGTTTTTTCTCTACTTTGAAAGACTTTAGCTGATTTAGTAATTCTATTTCCACTTTAAATGTATTGTATAGTGTTTTACAGAGGCTAGATCCCTTAGGTATGTTCTGAAATAAACCAGTAAGAAGAAGATGTGTTTTATGTGCATTGAAGACTTATTATGCCTCATAGGTGGCAGCATTTAGTGAACTTTTATAATTATTTCCTCTGCCCACAATCTGTAAATTTTTATATTTGACAGTGAGTTATAGATTGCTTCGTCTTAGTGTTCAAAACAGAAGTATTTTTCTCAGCTATAGCAATTAGTTCTCTTTTGACTAGACAACATCTCCAAGTAGATGGAGTTTTTAGTTTTTAATCCAGTTGTGCCCAGAGTAAAAGTGTGATAGTTCTCTGCCATTTAATCCCTATTATAATTTTGCTAAATAAGGCTGCATGTAATTTGTTCCTTCATGTTTCTTGCCATAGAGACCAGTCGCAGAAAGAACTTGAGAATGAAACACTCCTCATCCATGGTTATTGATGTATCTCCATCATCTTGAGGTTTCATTTCTAGTGGAGGTTTCAAAAAGGCTTTGCTTATGCAGCATGCAAAACAGCTGGCATCATCCTGAAGTGAACTTAAAATTAGAAGGAATTATTTTCTTAAAGGAAAAGAGGTCCCTTACACTTTTGAAACAGTGGAATACTAAAAAGAGCATGATTATCCTGAGATGCAAATCCATATGCGACAACTTTCACATCCTGGGGCCAACATAGAAAATACAAAGTTCAGGCAACTTACAGTACAATGGTGAAATCAAAGTGTACTGTCAGAGGATCAATAAATCAGCAATAAATCTGTAACAAGTAGAAGTGTCAGCTGAAGAGTTTAAAGTCCTTGTGGAATATTTGGACTGCAAGGGATTAGGAGAGGTAGGATCAGCTTTATGTAATTCCAAACATACGTTTAACCTATTCTGAAAGACTTTTTATGATGGACATTCTACAACCTTATAAAAAATGTTTATTCTGGCACCCATCTTTTTTGTTTCCTAATATCTTGTAGTGGGTTGACCCTGGCCAGATGCCAGGTGCCCACCAAAGCCACTTTATCACTCCCCCTCCTCAACTGGACAGGGGAGAGGAAAAAAAAAATACAACAACAGGCTTATGGGGTTGAGATAAGGACAGGGAGATCTCTCAGCGTTTACCATCACGGGCAAAACAGACTCAACTTCAGAAAAATGTAATTTATTACCAATTAACTGAGAGAGGAGTAATAAGAAATAAAACCAAATCTTAAAACACCTTCCCCCCACCCCTCCCTCCTTTCCCGGGCTTCACTTTGATCCTGATTTCTCTCCCTCCACCCCCCAGCAGTGCAAGGGGGGAAACAGGGAACGGGGGTTGTGGTCAGTTCATCA